GGCATATATCATATATATATACACATATTTCAAAAAAAAAAGTATATATATGCATTATCATGTGTATATCCATATGTCATGGGTCTCCGTTGCAAGCAGCCATAAACCTACAACAACCTACTGCAGAATCCAGATTGCAAACCTGCAAGAATTTATATTTTGAAATCAACGAAAGATATTTTCTGAAGTATAAAATATTATATATATACATCTTCTACATGAAATGGGAGCTATAAAGCACACAAAGCTGATAACCCAGACCTATCTATAAGGATGCTCACATGATGCTCCGATTCATTATGTTATTTTTTGGTTTGCATGGGTGGTTCCACATACCATAAACTATAGATCTATATAATCAGCTAGATGCCATCTCATTTGACCCAGAGCCATCAGCAGAGCCCCCGTTGAAAGCATCCCACGCATGCTGATGCGAGGCTTTGAGCTGGTTCACGAATTGGCGCATCTCTTCGGACTTTGGGTCGAGGACCGGTTGCTTCTGCAACGCTGAGACCTGGGCAAAACAATGGAGGGGAACAATGGAATGGAAGAATTATGTGCAAATGAGTATAGTCGTATTTATATGCAAGATGTGAAGGTATATAGGAACATGTATACCTATATAGACAGACATGCAAAAGAGTAAATCATATCACATATATATATATATATATATATAAAGCATATATATATTTAGATAATATCGAACAAGCCTGACGTTCTGACCAGGTACTTGATACATCTATGTGTACATATGATGCCTGTATATATATAAATATACAGATGCAACCATAGATTGTATATAAGTTTCCATATGTATATAAACATGTAACACCCGCAAATGTAATCTAGATATATATAGATATATACATGCACAATATCTTTTTATATAAACAATTCAGTACCAAGCATTAAGCATTGCACATATATATATATATACATACATACATACATATACATACATATACATACATATACATACATATACATACATATACATACATATACATACATATACATACATATACATACATATACATACATATACATACATACATACATACATACATACATACATACATACATACATACATACATTTATACATACATACATACATACATAAATACATACATACATGTGATCTATATATATATATAATTAGTATAGGTACACACATGTACACCTTTAACAAGTCAAAAATAAACACATACATATATATATTTTCAATTGGGCACAGGTATAAGCAAAAGATGCACATGTGCACTACAATCTTGCATGTTGGATTATTCAATGCACAAATGTCTCTCACACAGGTGTCACAACTGAGGGCATGACAAATGCATAAGCAAGAGCCATGTTGGAATACACACAGAAGGTGGGGCATCCAAAGTATGCGACCTGTGTCATGTTCTGTGCCTTTGCCTTTGTTTTGCCTTTTCCTTTTTGTGTGACTTTCTGTTTCTTTGGGACCTTGACACCCACAGCACAGCGAGACCAGTACACGCTGATCTGGAAGGTTTGTTTGTCATATGACAAGTGCTGCCAAGTTGGGTGTGTGCACTGGGATTCAGTGCAGTCCTTCAGAACATGTGTGACCTCCTTCACATATTCATCCAAGGGAGGCACCTGCTTGCACTTTTTTTTGCCCTTGGCTTTTCCATCTTGACTTCTCTTGGCTGGTGTGGCTGACCCAGCGCTTGCTTGGAGAGCTTTGCAAGGCTTTCCTGTCGAAAACTTTTTCTTTCTATACTGGTTCTGCATTTTGCGCAAGCTGCTGCGTTTGCTTTTCTTCAATCGTTTTCGCTCTGGGCTGCAGGGCAACTTGGCATGCGATGCTGTGCATGGCTGTGTGGCTTGGTCAGCCTCAGCATTGATGACAGCTGCTTTGTCCTCAGCACTCTTGGAAATTGCCCTTCTTTTCTTTGGAGTGCTCTTCAACGATGTTTTGCTTGCCCCCTTTGTTCTCTTCATTTTTTGCTTTTCAACCTTTTCTTGTGCCTTTCTCTTAGTCGTCTTGTCTTTCTTTTCCGATTTCAACCTCTTACGTTCTGCAATTTCCTGCTGCTTTGCTGCTTTGGCCTGTGCCTTCTCTAGCTTTTGTTTTTTCTTGTTCTCTTTCTCTATGGCTTTTGCAGCTTTCTTTTCCTTTTTGCCTTCCTTTGCAGACTGCTTTGCTCTGAACTGTGACCTGCGAGTCACAACTTGTGATGCATCCTGTTGCGGCAAGAGGTTCTCTGCCTGACTAGGTTCTTGGGGCGCCTCTGAAGGCTGATTTGTTGTGACTTGTTGTTCATCGGCCGGTGGCACAGTATGTTCAGGCTCTGACGGGGGTGCTGCTGCAGGCTGGGGCTCACTACCTGGTGCAAGTCCATGCGGTGTCTCAACCTGATTGTCCATTGGCTGGTTGGGCTCTTGGTGGGATGGTGCTGCTGCTGGGTTTGGGTTTGATTGCTGGTGGGGTTCATGAGCTGTATTCCCAGGCGACTGCTCTGGCTGACCCAGTCCTTGCCCAGTCTCTGCTGTAGTCTTTGAAGCTGCTTCGATCCATGGAAGAAGACGTCGACGCAACTGGTATGTTTCCTGAAGGGATTGAACTCAGATCATGTTAAAAAGGGTTCTAATTGAAAATTGCACATGTACTTCCACTGGAAATACAATGATGACAATTAAAAATATATAAGTCTATATGCATGTATACATGTATGTATATCTATATATGTACAAAGGCGTGATGATGACTGTCATGTATGTTGATGCATGGAAGTATATTGAGTACTGCATGGGCTGAAAACACTCCTATATGGCCCTCATCTAAAAGGCTGCATGTCGATATATATATATATATATTACAACGTTGGGCAACTGGGCAACACCACCCTTGCATATATATATATATAAATACACACATGTGATGCTGATGTCTTTTGTGGCTCACCCCCCAAGGCCCACAACCTTCAAATTAGACCCTGCTGGCACTTCTTCCACGGTGGTTTGTTCAGCCAAGTCCAGTGATAGAATCGTCTGTGCAGCAATGTTGCTGTTATACAAGGACGTAGGGCTGCATGGCAACTGAGTAGCATCATTCTCCGTAGCAAAGGGCATCGAATCCAACACAACTTGGGGGCCTCCAATGGATGATGGATGACAACCATGCAGGAAAGAACATACAAATAGCATCCTGCATAAAATGGATGTGTATAGCTTTAAACCGGTATATTCAAGCGTTTGCTAAACATGAGCCTTCATGACATAAACAAATGGGTGCACCCAAGAAACAACATATATACACAAACTTTTACATATTGCAATGGGTTGTAGATTGAAAACACCAAGATTGGTTTAAACCCCAAACCTGTGGGATCAGGGGCAGCTGGGACAAACGAAGGCTTTTCCTGGGGCTTTTGCCCCATGATTTGCCCAAGCTCCTGCAAACCATACACGCCAGTCCTTGGTACACAAGGTTGCGGGGAAGCTGCCAAAAGCAGAATGGATAGTCAAAAGGTTAAAATGCATCCCAAAATTTCAATCCCCAAACTACAGTCACATATAATATATATATATATGCAATGGATATACATGTATATATATGTGTGTATATATATATGCAAAATAGAAGACCTGTGGAAAAAAGGGCTATCTGTGCAGCCTAATACCCCAATCATCATCTCATATGCACATGTATACATGTGCACATGTACCCCAAGAGCTGTATATACATTCACACATGCAGCAAATCCATATATATAAGTACAACACGTTTACACACATACATGCACTAATAAACCATACAAATGGCCAAAATGAGCCTAGAATCGCTTGCATAGTCATCAAAGCCTGAATGACATCTTGATTTGCACTGGATGTTTTGGATGAAATTGTCACGTTTTCCTCATCCGACGAGACCTCCCAAACACCAAGGTCCTGCGTCCAAGAATTCTTTAGGCTGTCAATTGAAGTATATATATATTAATTTTTTAAAAAAAAAACATATAAAATGAAACAATTCAATACAAAACAATTTGGCCCACCCCTCCTGAGTAGATACTGCCCGGTTTGGCAGCGAAACTGCAATGGCTTCACCATGAACTACATCTCCATTAAATGCTGCTTCAAGTTCCCTTTGGAAACTGGAAGCAGGTGAATCCATTTGAGAATCCACCCCAGCTTCAACTGGCTTTGCCAGAATTGAGTCCTCAAACCCTAGGACTGTGGTAGCCGAGACCACCCGCATTTCTCCCTGGTCAGTGTTGGTTTCCTGTGTTTCAACAGTGGGTAAACCCAGATCATCCAATGGTGGGGTTTCAGCAGGCTTCTTATCACCCTTGGAATTTTCAATGGCAAGATTTGACTTGGAATCCTTTCTCCGGATTGGCTGCCAATCCTTCAGGGAGAGGGCACATGTTTCTGACAGCATAGGCAAGGGGAGATCTCAGAAGTTACATGACCAATAATGATCACCATCTCTGTTGATATGGCAAATCAATACATGCAAAGAAATCCAACCCCCCAAAAAATAGATATATAGGATTACTGGGTATACATGTCTTATCGACCCTGTTTAGGCACATGAAGTCAAATATATGTTGCAGGGGGCGTGGATGGTGACATATATGGGCACATGGCAAAAAAAATACACTTGCATAAAGCCATGTTAAGCTATATGAACGGTGGAATCAAAGGTTACAAACGTGAACCTGGATTGAAGTATATATATGATGATAACTATACATTTAAAGAAATACATATATATATATATATATGTGAAATCAAGATGAGCTCCCAAAGTCTCACTCGCACCTCGGTATGTCGTTTTTCCACCTGCCAAATTGTCGCGGCCTGGGGTAGCTCAAGGGCCCTTGAAGGAAAATGTAGCGGCAAACACATTGCCATTGAAAATGGTTCTACAAAACTGCATGGATGTTAACTCCAAATGCACATCGGTGGTAGAGTGGTGAAAAACTACCAGGATCGTCACCACAGCAAAACGTGGTCTCTACAATCACACTCGATCCTGAAAAGCGCTCAAATGTTTGAACGCACCGTGCACCCCCTCTCTCACATACATCCATCCAGGTCTGTGTCCCTGACGGTCAAACGTCAATGGTGTCTGAATGATTTTGTCTGCGATCATGCCCTCATCAAACATTCTCTCCATTCGCTTCTTCCACTCATCTCGCATTGGCGCTTTCACACCTGAGACAGCTGGCACTGGCTTGCTCACTCCTTCTCCTTTCTTCACAACTTGGAATGCCAAACAATCCAAGCATGTCCATTTCCACTGCACTCCATTCGTCCCTTGCCAGTTGACGCGCAAGTGCTTGCACTGAATTGCATCTGGACCATCAGTTGCCTGCACTGACTTGGGTGAATGGTCAGTGTCGCTGCTGCCTACGCTCGCATCGCAACGCATGGGCTCAGCCTCTGCCGATCCAGTTCCAGCATCGCGCACACGCACCGCCGCGCCATGGCTTCGTGATGCGTAGATCTCTTCAAAAACCTGATCATTCACAAGAGTTGGCTCATTCTGAAAAGCGATGTCATTCCGTGAAAATGCAAAGAACTTTGACAAGGCTGCACTGAAATACACAAGAACATCCTTAATCTTGATGATGACCCCAAAAGCACCAATAAACGCAAAAATGATGATCACAGCAAACGTCATGGTGAATGTCCAAAACTGCTCATCCTCTTTCTCTGTGATTGCTGCCTCAGCACTAGTCACTGACTCTGCTGCGATGATCGCAACTGCATGCATTGCTGCCTTTTTCCATGGGTCACCACAGCTTTGTTTTCTGTGCAAATAATGTCTCCTGCTGCAAAACTGGTTCTTTCCTTCTGTCAAATCAATTTTCTTTTCGCATCCCTTCAAAGCACACTTTCCACGCTCGCTTTTCTCATCCTCAACCGCAAAAACATGGCCCTCAAACATTTCTTTTGCTAACTTTTCCATCTCTGCATGCTGTCTTTCTTTCACATCTTTTCCAACCTTCTTGTCTGCAACGAAACTTTCATCGTACACCAAGCGGTGCACCCCGCGCTGCAGAAGGTAGGCAAACTGCTCTCTCGCCTGCCTCTTGGTCAATCCATCAGCTAATTGCTGTCCACTGTTCACCCATTTCATCTTGGACATCATGGCTTGCAGACGATCTCTGATGATGCTGATTTCGATCGATGTGCGTCGATCGCTCGCCTTGTTCTGAGTGAGGCTGTTCACCGAGTCAAACAAGGCCTTTGCGTCAGTCAGCACCGGTGATTCACCTGTGCTTTGCAACACCGAATCATCTTCATAGGAGATGGTCGGCCAAAGCATCAATGACCAACAAATTCTCAACCACTCCAAGGCATCAACTGCCACGGATGCTGACTGTGCTTCCGCGGCCAATGACGACCGACAGACGCGTGCAAGCTTCCGAGACGCCCAATCCAAAACTGAGAGCTTCATGGCTCGGCCTTCGTTGATCTCCTCCTTGGACGCAATGAAAATGATGTATCCTCCTTGGCTCGTGTCATCAGGGCGGACGGCCCACGCTGCGTCCGCATAGACACCAAAGCGAAGTGACTCCAGGCTTCCATGTGGATTTGGAGCTTGTAGTCCTTCCCCACATCTTTCATGAATCTCAAACCTTTGTTTGCTTCACTCAAGTCCGACACTGTGGGGTTTGCCACAGATGCTTGAAGGAGGCTGCACGTCGCTGAGATCTGGGGCAAGCACTGGTTGGCAGGCCACGCCATCGCACCTACGATTGCTCGTAGCTGCCTCTGCTCATTGGCTGTGCATGGGTCACCAGACATGGTTTTCCGGTTCTTGTCCATGGTCAGCGGCTTGACCTTTCGCACATATTCTGCCATGGAAATCTGCACTGTCTCATAGTCCAAGCTCTGTTCCACTTCAGCGCCACAAAATTCCATGGTGTTCCCAAATGACCATGATCCAAACCTGAACCTCCTCGACAAACCACAAAGCCTGTCTCTGAAGGAAGGAAAATCACCATTGTACTCACCTTCCAAGTCTTGCGCCCCAACGACACCTTCGCCAGTGCCGATGAAATCATCCACATGCATGCCAAGAACTCCATCAACCACCATGCGTTGGCCTTCATGCATGAAGACGCGGAAGTCATCATCCTCCGCCACAGCCATGCGAGTGCTCACATAGACGCACTTGTCTAGTGCGTGTCGCAGCATCCTCAAATCTTCAGTCACCACACCATCTGCTGTAGTGTACCACTGTCTTGGTGCACGCACATCTCCAAATGCGGGCTTCGTTGCTTTCAAAATCTGCCATGGTTTCAAATCCATGAGCCTCTCCAACCTTCTCCTCATGTCACTTGTTGGCTTCACATAGATGCGGGTTGTTTCATCTATGCTGTCTGCCTGCATGAATGCACTTTTCACATCCGCACTGAACAATTTCCAGCGCATGTGCACTGCCAAGACGTAGATCAACATCCTGCTCTGTCGCGCAAGCGTTGGAGAGTCTGTCTCCAACTTCTGCTCCAAAACATCTCGATGCTTGAAGCCTTGGATGATCACTCTCGCATTTGCCTTTTCGCCTTCCTCAGTCTTCTTCCATCTTTGCAAAAACCTGGCTGGAACAACTTCACCTTCTCTGGCCTCGCTCTCTTCAACTGCCTTCTAAGCTGAGTTCTCAATCCAAACCATCAATGCCTTGTCCTTTGCTTCATCAAACATCCTTCTCTGCTCCTCCGTCAACCTCTTCTCATCAAACTCCTCAGCCAACATCTCCTCATCTTCAAGGCCCTCTGTCCACTGGTTCCCTTTTCTGAGTTGCTCCTCTGTCGCCTTTGACTTTCTCGGCAAACCATCCAAGACTCTGGCGGCCTCATGCGACCTTCTGATGATGTCGATCGGCACGGGGCTCCGTGATCTGTCCCTACGTCTTTCACTTGTTTCTTCTTTCGACTGCACCTGCTGGGGCAGCCCTTCCTCATTGGCGGCTTGATCTCGCTCAGCCGCTTTCACATCCTCTTGTTGTGCCTCTTGCAACTGTGTCTCTGTCTCTGCTTTCAGCGCCGACTTCTTCACTTCATTCTGCTCTTGTCGCTCCTCACTCTTTTGCTGTTGTTTCTGCATGAGTGATTCTTTCTTCTTACGCTTTGAGGGTTGGGCAGCTTGATCACCCGGCCTCTCCGGGGAGGCCACAGATCCCGCCCCCGTGGGGACCACGTCCACACCACGGAGATGGGCAGTGTCCTCATCAGGTCTCTCCTCCAGACCCGAGACGCCAGCAGATCCCACACCTCTTGCGTTAGAATTGAGTGGGCCGGGCCCCAAGTCTAAAAATCGAATGGGACCTCGGACTGGTTGAAGAGCCTGAGTGAGTTGCTGATGTAAGGGCAATCTGGTGGCTGTTTGTGGCATAGTTTCCAAACGGGCAGCGCGCTCACTGCTCACCTCCAATCTGACATGTTCTGGGGCAGACCGCACCAAAGAAGCGCCATGGGCAAGCCAATAGACAGTGGGTCGACGTGACCCTTCAGCTGTCTCACGACTTTCAATGGCGCAAATGAGTGCAGGTCCACGCCATCGGGAGTGCTCCAACTTGTCATTGCCAGTGCGCCAGTAATAGGCATAGTCCCCAACTTCCAGGACTTCGTGCTCGGCACGACTACGCGCCAGAAGGGCGCGTCGCACTTTTGTGCTATTGTTGGCTGCATAGAAGGCCTTGGCAGCCAGGATTCTGACTTCGTTGTCCTCCATCTGACGCGGAGGTCCGTCTGGACGAACACCATGCGGCTCATCTGAGATGCCGGACTGATTGGGCGTGTGCCCAAACACCAAAGCTGAAGGGGAAGCACCATGGACTGTTCTCAAGCGATTCCTTTGCTCGCATGCATGAAGGACTGCATCCTCAATGGTGAGGTCCGTCTTTTCATCTTTCATTTTTATCAACTGCTGTCGTCGGACGGCATGCAGTCGCTCAACGAGGCCTAGCTGATGGTGAGCCTCCTTTGGAATGAGCATCAAACGGATGCCCCGCTCATCACACCAACTTTGAAAGAACTCGGACATGTGAGCGCCTGAGGAATCTGCCTTGATGACCTTTGGTCTGCCAGCCCAAGCAATCCACTGCTTCTTCAAAATGTCAATCTCTTCCTCCATGGACTCGCTTTGGATGATGGCATTGGTCTCAAAGTGAGAGTAAGTGTCAATGATGGCCAAAACTTTGTGTTTGACATCACCCCACCTGATGTGGAAGGTGTCCATCTCAATAACCTCATTGAAGTAGGACGACTGCTTCAAAGCTGCTGGTTTCTCCAACGGCTTTGTCTTGTGTGACTCGCAAATGTCACACTTGTATGCCTTGGCCTGTTGCACAACCGCCTCATCAAGCTTGGCGTCTTTCAACGCCCTGACCAACTTCTCATTGTTTGGATGGCCAAGCTGTCTGTGCAACTTGGCAACAATCCTTTTGGCTGTAGTCGTGTTGACCTTGGCATTCTTCCAGTCCTCCTCCTTCACTGCATCGCTCTCTTGCATTGCTGCTTCCACATCCATCTCTTCAGCCACCATGATTTCTACAATCTGTCTCTTTCTCCACATGTTCTCCATCTCAGCATAGATCTCTGGTGCTGCCACAGCGACAAAACCAGCCTCGTAGTTCTGCATCTGTTTCAAGGCAGCTGACTTCCCAATCATTTGGACATGTGGCTCTATGCACCGGCACTCGATGCACATTGCCTCTGCAAGCCTCAGCGAATTGGTTCTGATTCTGGTTCTCTTTCTGACTTTGCCCACAACTCTTCCGTTGTGAACGTAAACCAAACCAGTCTGGCACCTATGGACTACTGCTTCATAGTATCCCTTCATGGCTTCCATGGTCTGCGTCTTCCAAGATTCCGCAGGGTCTGGATGCTCCATCGCTGCTGCGGCATCGATTGCCTTGCATTCCTCAAAACCATTTGAAACCATCTCCAAATGACTCTTCTCTTCTGCATGTCGCTGTGCCTCCAACTTCTCTGCATCCTCCTCGCACTTCACGTTAATTCTCTGCATTGGGCTCCATTTTGTGCAAGGTGGAGCGTACCATATGAAGTGTGGCTTCTCTTCAATGATGAGCTGATTGAACCTCAACCGTACATCCTCACGGCTGAAGTCCCACTCTGGCAAACTGAAAGTGGAGACTGTCACATCAGGGTATTTTCTGGCGATATGTGATGCCAGGCTTCCCTGATCCACATAAACTTCCCAAAATTTCAGCTCACGGCCTTTCAACGCTGCATTGACAGTCTTGTCGATGATGTTCATGACCTCTGCATCGACAATCTCAAGTTCGCCTGGATGATCCTCTTCATCCACCAGCCCCACTTCTTTCTCCATGACTGGTTCGATCATCCATGCGGGGTTTCGCTCATCATCCCAAAACTTTGTGCCTTCCTCAGAGACGCAATGCACCCAATTCTCGTCATCTTCCTCCTTGTAGTCGAACAAGTTCAGCATGTAGTGACCTTTGTGACCTCGTTCTGGCTGGAACCATTTTGACCCTGCCACACTCACTTCTCCTGTGCCAAAGTTCTGCTTCATGCCCAGCTCTTCCAAGGTCGGTCTCGCCAACAAAAAGGGTGTTCGACCTGCAATGATCGAAGCTCTGATCCTCTTGACTTGTCCGCGGATGCCCGCGTCAAATTCCACCTCATAGTGCGATCGTGCTACACCACCATCGCCAAACTTGAAGTCACGAATGACTTGATGTGTACTGACATTCAGCCCCAACTCTCGTCGGCTTGCTTCTTCAATCCATCCTTTCCAAACTTCTTCACCTGCAATGGTTCGAGTTGCGCCTGAATCGATGATCGCCATGCCTGCACCACTGTCTGAGTACAAGCATTCTTCCACCTTGAGCTCTTCCTCGACCATCGAAATGCTCTCTTCGGGCACCTCCTTGACTCCATTGCTCGCCATGCGGTACCTCTTGAACCTTGGTCCATGACTTGCTGTGGATCCGCTCAATGTTGACTTGATGTCAGGAGCACTTGCACCTGAACTGCTGGGCGCTGCACTCGTTGGACGCCGCAATCCCGACATAGGTCTCCTGTTCATGGGCGTTCTTCTCATAGGTGGACCCTTGCTCTTTCCTTTGCCTTTGAATCCTTTCCCTTTGCCTTTTCCTTTTGAACTTCTTCCATCTCCTTTTCCACGTCCACCAATCACATCTGGACCAAGAGCTACGATGGGATAGAAGCCCCTGTTCAGTGCCAGCTCTTTCATCCTTCGCCTGGACTCCACGTAGCTGATGTAAGCCTCCTCCGTCTGGTCAGCCGCCAGCTCCAAGTCTGATGGGACGACATCATCTTCGTCCTCTTCATAATATGCATCTTCCTTTTCATAGAACGCATCGTCCCATTCGGCTGCATACTCATCCTCATGATCGTACGCACCCTCATCATCAAACTCGGCATAGAAGTTCTCCTCCTTGCCTGGCCTGACCAAGTCTTTCGGATTCGGCTTGTGGTCAGCGCCGAACATCTTCATGAGCGCGTTCGACACCTTGTCATACGCCAGATCTCCTGAGCAAAGTGCTTTGATCTGGACATGTGTCCATTTCGGAATGCCAGCCCTTGTCATCAAGTGCCAGCCTGCCAACAAAGGTGGTATCTCCACCTTCACCTCTTTCATCTTCTTCATCATGGTGGCATGCCTGATCAAATAGCCTTGCATCTCTTCGCCTTTGCTGCGTTAAAACTCCTGGAAAAATTCCTCACATCTGTTGGGCACCTCCACCATGTCCTCATACTGATACAATCCATCCAACAGCTTGAATAGCGGCTCAAAAGGCTGCGCAGCACCCTCGATCTCTTTCAGATCTAACTGCTCTGTTGCCTCCCAAGCCGCATCACACAACAAACTTGTGGCTAAGAAAGCACCTTCGACTGCTGTCTCACGTCCTCGCCTCTGACATTGCATGGAAAACAGCAGCAGTCTACGTCTATAGCTTCTGTATGTTCTTTGATTCAAACCTTCTGCATTGGGGGCCGTTTTGGCCAATCCACTGTCCAAACCCTTGGAGTAGGTTCCTGCCGTTGCTCCAGAGGTCGAACCATTGGTTTGATCTCCTGTCGGCATTTTGGTAACCCTTGGTCACAGAAAAGATCAAATTCACGGTCACCCTAATCGTTTGCGCCTCAACCACCAAGAAAAAGAAAGGTAGTAGGCGGTGGCCCCAAAGATCTTGACGCTCCGCTACCAATGTGAAATCAAGATGAGCTCCCAAAGTCTCACTCGCACCTCGGTATGTCGTTTTTCCACCTGCCAAATTGTCGCGGCCTGGGGTAGCTCAAGGGCCCTTGAAGGAAAATGTAGCGGCAAACACATTGCCATTGAAAATGGTTCTACAAAACTGCATGGATGTTAACTCCAAATGCACAATATATATATATATACAGGTGTGCCTGCGCACATACACACATGACAGTTATATAGACGCCCGCATGGCATGAGTCATGAAACCCAGTTGCATGACCAGTTGCGTGCCTTCACGTTGAAACCCATCCGCTCCACCAGGACAATGATCCCTTCATCCTTGGCAGCCGGGCTCAACAGGACAGACTGCCCTGGAGATGGGACAAAGGCAGTTGGAAGACAGCGAGATATGCTTCATATATAAAACAATGATGTATATATATATATATAATTATATAATGTATAAATATCAATCTGCATATATATATAATTATCCTCGTTTCTGGGACTCAAAATTGTATCTATGGTAACATCCATGCATGGAGTATCATTATATCAGAAATCTATTCCTTGCATTGTTGCCGAGTATATTTCTTGGACAAGTGAAGCCAATCAATAGCCCAAACTGATCAGGTCTGAACATGGTGACTATTCCTGACGTGGGTTTTGTACAAAAACATAAATATAATTCCCAAGATAAGAACGTAGTGCATTATAACGGCTGTAAACATTGTAAAAAACAAAAACAAAATGTGGAGTGTGCAAAGATTTCACTGAGCATCAGTTGGTGGTGACTCACGGTAAAGGACACTCTTCAAAACATTGATGAGGTCACGGATTGCCCATGCTTGATTGTAGCAATGTTCAAGAGACCTGGTCACCTTTGAGGTACGATAGAAGGCATCTACCGATTGTATCAATCGATCCAAAGCGGGAGGCATCAACTGGTGGTCTTTCATAAGGTCGAGCACAGGCTTCAACACGAATGAATTGATTTGGCAGTTTTCGATGGTTTTGTCCACATCTCCATCTACCTGGGTATTCTTGGTAGAATCAAAGTTCTGAAGTAAGTTGTGGCCAGCCCTAACCCGGTCACGGCATTCCATGCAATCATCCCACGATCTGCATAACCCTGCCAAGTCATACTTCCCAACTCTTTCCTTGGACTGGGCTGTGGGAGAAGAGGTAGGAGTAAGCGACCCTGAGCCACTGCTAGCAGATCTTGGCTTGGATTTTTGAGTGTGCCTCTTTTTCCCCATTGTGGCAACACACAGGACAGTCGAATGAAAGTGGCACCTTTGCCTTGCCAGGAGCCAAAATTCAAAAGAAGAAGATCATGCACTGAGATGCTCTGAGAAAGCGAGCTGGTTTGTGTATATATCCATGCATGGCATCGCTTGACCTGATGCAACCCATCATGTTACTTGCACCGAACTTTGTAATTGTATATACGCATCATGGCGCATGTCCATCTATATTTTTCAACCATTTGTATCCACACATCCATATATTCATTTCTGCATGTACCTTTATATGGAACCATGTCCATGCCTGTTTGTAACTGTTTGTTCCTATGTGTATCCCTTCACCACCCCAAAGATGTTTCCAGAATAGAACCACTGAAAATTTTACCACTCCTTTTGAATTTCAATGATTGATGATTTGTCTTCGATCCAGTTTTATGGGTCAAACATTGCCATGCTACGCCGAAAGTGTGATTGAAAGGTTTCACAGTTCTTGTCAGGTTTTGGCAGTTTTGGCTGCACTGGCCCCCCCAAGACCCCGAAGGTAATCAAGCCAGCAGCACCTCAAGTGGATCCACCAATGCCAATCCATCCAAGTGGCCATGGATATTCAAATTAAGTTGGGCTTGGACAAGGTATTGTTGAGTCAACCGTGTCATGTATGACATCTATCGATCTAGAAGTATGCATGAGACCTTCAGTTGCATATATGTGAGATTGGCCAGGGAAGCAACATACAGCATATATATATATATGCAAGTTCTACTTCATCCTAGCAAGGTAAAGCTGTAGTGGGCCTTAATTTGGTTCTTGTGGGTTTGTGAGGAAACTCAGACTGTACCATGCTTTCTGAACTGATCCCTTTGACCCAGACCTGGCAAGAATAAGCAGGCGAGGCGAGATGTGGAAAATGTTTGGCAACCGGATGGGCTTGATGGACCAGTGACCCAGTCTATCTTTGTATCTCACCATCCATTTCTTTGGGCAATGCCATATATATATATGGTTGTATAATGATGTGTATATATATATATCAATGCCTCTCATGGTGCAACCAGCTGTTTGATTGCAATGGACCCGTTGCTGTGCACAGTCTGTATATATGCATCTGAGTGAACAACCAATATACAATTGAATCATTATATATACATATATCATTAAATATATACATAGAGGATGGATCCATATACGATTGATGGAAAGTATGAAGTGGAAGCATTTTAGCATTTAATTGTATAACATTATATATATATACATATAATACATATATAACACCTATATGTATATAATAACTATATGAATAGCATAATATAATACTATAAATAGTATGTAAAAACGGATGTAAATAGTATGTAAATAGCATATATAATTCATATAATAGTGCAGAAATAGCATGCAAATAGCATATAAATAGCATATAAATAGCATATATATATATGAAATATATGTAGCTCCAGATTGACCAGTTATGTGTCGAACGGTTTTTTACGTGCAGGAGTTAAATTATACTTAGGAACGGTTTTTTAACTAAATTGCAGTTTTGCAGAATAATTATACTTCTAACAGTGCACCAGGTATGTATTATGTATTATGTATTATGTATTATGTATTATGTATTATGTATTATGTATTATGTATTATGTATTATGTAATGTAATGTAATGTAATGTATGTATAATATATATATATATATATCTTAGTCATGCTGGATTCCCCGTGTCTCCTGGGTGATGTTCTTAGGCCAAGCCCCGAAGGGGCGATGGGAAAGTCGGGAGGACTCAGAATGACTAAGGGCGCCGCTGGCGTGAGGTGGATTTATGATAGTTATCTTATCATCGTTATCTAACAAAAAAAACATAGTATAACATAGAAGTATAACATGGATTTATGATGTTATCATCCAACTATACTTCTTGTTATATTCTATTATTATTTTAAGAATAAATATAGTTGTATGATGTTGGATGATAGATAGTTGTTTATTATAGTTCTTATAGTATCTTATAATTATTATAGTTGGATTATGATTATGATGTTGAGATGTTGCTATTTCTATTCGTTCTATAAATATTTATTTTTTGGAAAAAAAAGAAAAAATAGGATTCAGAAATAGGAAAAAAATAGGGTTCCAGAACTCAAATAGGAAAAAAACGCCAAACCAAGATGAACCACAGCTTCACATTTGGGAACAACACCAACACAAAACACAAGCAGAGCCTTCCACATTTTATGAGGAATGTCACTGTGGATATATGTGGGTCAACCTGCGTATGGTGTTACATCTATACATGTAAATGTTTGGATATGTCCTATGCGTGTATGTAAGTAATTGCAATTGCTGCTGCTGCGTTCGCAATTGGAAAAGGAAAGGAACCGAAAGCAGACATTGAATCTTGAAGGCACCATCTGCTTGGGGAAGCTGGCTAAACGATTGAAATAATGAGCCAATAACTTGTGAACTGCGTGACGTTCGGCGCGTCCCAAATTCAGCAATAAGCGTGGCGCTCCCACACCCCTTTCCTCCTCCCCCCGCTTCCTCCCCCTCCTCTCCCCCACCCCTATTTTTGAATCCTATTTTTTTCCTATTTTTTTCCTATTTTTGAATTCTATTTTTTTCCTATTTTTTTCCTATGTTTTTCCTAATTGTCTAAAAATGGGCTGCTATTTTTTTCCTATTTTTTTCCTATGTTTTTCCTATTTTTTTCCTATTTTTTTCCTATTTTTTTCGAGGTTTTTTACGTTTTTTGACGGTTTTGGGACCCGAATTCAAAAGAAGGAAAAAATAGGAAAAAAAAGGAAAAAAATAAGAAAAAAATAGGAAACACATAGGAAAAAATAGGAAAAAAAAAGGTATGGTGCTGGAAGCAGATGTTCAGAAATAAGAAAAAATAGGATTCAAAAATAGGAAAAAAATAGGAAAAAAATAGGGCCCAAAAATGCAAATAGGAAAAAAATAGGAAAAATAGGAAAACAAAAAAACTGGTAAGTGCTTTGTAGTCCTGTGCTGCTAGCTATTTCCTATTTTTTCTTTTTTTTCCTATTTTTCCAATTTTTTCCTATGTTTTCCTTATTTTTCTTATTTTTCCTAATTTTTCCGAGGTTTTTTACGTTTTTTGACGGTTTTGGGAGCCGAATTTAAAAGAAGGAAAACATTGGAAAAACATAGGAAAAATAGGAAAAAAAAAGGTATGGTGCTGGAAGCAGATGTTCAGAAATAGGAAAAATAGGAAAAATTAGGAAATAGGATTCAAAAATAAGAAAAAATAGGGCCCAAAAATGCAAATAGGAAAAACATAGGAAAAAATAGGAAACTAAATATATTGGGAAGTGCTTTGTAGTCCTGTGTCAAGTGTGTTTTTGCGTCCTATTTTTTTCCTATTTTTGATTCCTATTGTTTTTCCTATTTTTTTCCTAAAATAAATATTTTCAACTTTTATAGAAATAGCAGAAAACTTTGCATCATAAGATTATGAGTTATAAAAACGTTACAGTCAACAGTCTGGATAATTTGTGAGTTTTCTATATCTCTGTTTGAGGCTTGCTATGAGGCTTTATTTGAGATGCTAAACTGGGGACTAGGAAGTAGGTATGGTGAATTATGGTCCTGGTGATGTAATGTGATGTGTGCTTTATGGGTTTCAAACAGCTGGAGGCGAAATGGAACAAACCATGCCGCGGTCTGTGGAAAAACGGTCCAACTTCATGGGCTTCATCTGTCCGAGGAAAAAACAGGCTGCAAAGTGTGCATCTCAGTTCATAGCAGCCATAGCATATGCTGATCAGTGTAGTGAACAAAGTTTGGGAATTGATCAAGGCTGATGGGGAGAGATTTCAATCTGCTTACCCTCATTAATCATTGAATGTCATGGCAAATCCCCGATTTAGAGATGGTTTTTCCAGCTATAAAGCTCCAGTTCGATTGCGGCAAACTTCCTGGGCTTTCCAGCATTTTCCAGCCACAGTTTCCAGCGGCTTTCCAGCGGCTGGCCGGGCTTCGCTGGCTTCGTGGCAGGCCAACAACCTTTTATGACTCCTTGGTCGAAATGACCACGATCAACTTCGAAGAGTTGGCCGAAGAAGAGAACTGGGAGGTGCATCGGATCGGGTCGCATCAGGGTGTGATGTCGAGTTCTCAATGATGTTGATTTGATGTATATAGTATATCTATGATATTGTATGATCAGTAATTTATATACAGTGGGTATGTCTACATATATAATTATATATATATATGATTCAAACTTGTATATGGTTATGATTTACAATGATCCATCCCGTTCCGGCGCAGACCATGAGCCAACTGGAGCGGAAGATGACCGAGGCTCGTGTAGCCTTTGATGAGCAGAAAGTCCAGGCATGGCGGTGGCGGCCGGTGGCGGCCGGTGGCGGCTGGTGGCTCGTAGTGCTTGAGATCTTCTGGAGATTTCATAGTGATTATGGTTTGTAGAAGGGGTATATATCATGATCAATCATACATGTATCTGAATTATATAGGTATTATATATATATACAGAGTCATCCTGGAGTAGAGGGAATATGGAAATTCCTGACAAATCATCATTAAAATTGGAATATCATTGAAATCCCGTATTCTAACTCCAGGATGATAACATATATGATGATTTATGCGGATGTATATATGACGATTTTTCGATCATCATGGATATAAGGATCATATCCCCAATAATGAGTGGTAAAGAATGGACAATAAAAAATGTGTCTCTAGTTCCAACAAACCCAGTTGGAGTTGTCAGCATGGGGGATATGTCATGACAATGACTCATTGTTTATATAATGCGGATGCACAACGATTCAACGATTGGGGACATCATGGTTGATACAGTGAGGATAGAATGATTAATGACTGGGATTTCCAAGCTTGGTTGAGATGATTTTCTTATAGCTCATGGACAAAATAGGGAGAAGACATGGTTGGTAATGATGACCGTTTTATGGGTCTCGTGTTCGCTATCTATGACGTGGTAAACATCATTTATAGGGTCTTCACCATCAGATGGGGATCTATAGAATTGAGATTCATGATGGTTGGTTGATGGTTGAAGTTTGGTTGCTTGTTGTGTGGGTAAAAAAACCACTGGAGATGTGTGTTTTACCAGTAAAAACTGTGAGATTTTCTGGAAATTTGTGGCCGCGGGACGTGGGACGACATTTCTTCAACACTGGAACTGGCTTCAACTGGGACTTTTTGGGGAAACACTGGGGCTTCAACTGAGGATCTAATGGGGATATAAGCAGGTATATAGCTGGATATATATATATAATATTATATAATATGTTGGTTCATATCCGCACATGTCTTGGTTTACGTCGCACATATTGACATCCCTTTTTTGACAAGTCGTCAACCCCTATGTTTTGATCATAAAAGCCAGGCAAATTCAGGGTTGCTGCAACCAATCCTGGCAAATGATTATGTTTCGCCATTTGTTCCTGCTGGTATCTACTGGTGCCGGCAGTTGCAGCGGTACTTGAGGCGGTTGTGTCCCGCACTGATGAGAAATTAAAAAACAGCTGGGTTCAATGTTTTGTAATATTCTAAGATATGCTGTAATATTCTATGATATTCTATATGATATTCTATTTTGATCACTCCATTTCTCCATGGTTGTTGACGTTCCATCGTATGATTGCACCTTTGAGCTGGTCGCAGCAAGTTCTGCAGGAACGGGCCGCCAGACAAGAAGCGCGAAAAGCTCGAGAAAAGAAGATCCGGGCAAAGAAGCAAGGCCCCCGAATTCAGTTGGGTATGGGTCAAAATTAGGTACCTCAATAATTGGATGGTTAATACTAAACTAGACATTTCCATCTGTGGTCCCACATCGGTCTTCCATTTTGACCCACATCCAGTTTGGGAAGTTGGGGAGATGAACCTCCATGAATTCCAGCTATAGTGTGAACCGAAGGATACCATGGTTTTGACCCATATCCGTTCTGCCCAGTTTTCATGTTACGTGAAAAAAAATGGCAACAGTTTGCTGCCTGGTAAACAAGCACGGCATTGGAAAACCATCCTCAATATGTAGATGACTGATCTTTTAAACACCTGAATATGTTGTTGCCCTTTGCCATGTAAAATCAGAGAATACTTCCTGGCAATCTATATGACAAAAATCCTTCATTGATATCCATTTCTGAATGATTCTACCATCAACTTCCCAACAAGCCATGTCTAATCACCAGAAGGATCCAGAAGGTAAATTAGAAAAAATGTTGGGCGGCGCAGATAATATATGATAATATCAATCACATTTGTTGGGGTAAGTAGTTAATTTTTGATTTTTGAGAGTTCTTGAAGGCAAGTGGGTCACCAGAAATATGCAAGCCGCAGCCAAATTTTGGCCCGAATGCGGTGGTCACCCTTTTGTATAGATCGTTTTATTTGGGAACAACAATTGACTTTCCTATCGATGGACGTCTCCATCATCATTAATGAACACCAATATATAAACCATTCAGCATGGTTGGTTCACCTTTGAATGGGGTATATCATTTAGTGGTCACCTATGAATGAACCCCAGTGTAACATCTCCAGTTTTCTCTTCCACTTTGGGGATATCGTCCCCAAGTTTTGGTTTAATTTCCGCCATGTTTTTCGGCGAAGGCGGCGAAAACATCTCGGGTCCCTTCCGGAGACCCTGCGGAGTGCCACAGGAGGCCAGAGGTGAGTTGTGGTGTGTTGACACCGGAATTTGATGTGACCATTAGATTTAGATATCATTAGTCACTAGTTTAGAATCTGAAGTAGTGGTAAAAAAATCCATTTTATAAATGTTGATTAGTTAACTTAATGTTAAAAACATGTGAATGTGCATTTTTTCCATGGCAAAAGTCACTAACTTGTACAACCATGTACAACCCATTTCTGGCAACATTGTTGTGAAAAAAATGGGAGGCAGTTCGTCAGAATTACCACATTTCAAGTCACGTTTCGAGTCACATTTCACCAAGTTTGAACGAAATAATTAGCAGATCCACGAATTTAGATATTGGGAGAAATGGTGGCTCTGGATTCATGGTAACTTCATCTATTTTTTGAATCCACGGTTCCTTTGGAACAGAAAAATGGTGAAGGAAGCATCCAGCAGTCATCCAACCTTAGGGTGAAACGCACGATGAAGCACCGATAATAGCCGATTTCTGACCCGTAGCCTTTGCATAGAAATCACCTCGCACACTTTGAAACATGTTGAACCCCCATTTTTGTACATGTTTCTGTCTTTACCCAGTTCTTCTTGACAATTTAGAAGGCATTGGGCAACTCCCATCGAATCTATTTCAGACAGCTGGCACCAGCAACTTACAACCAACCACAGCTCAGGGCATGATGATTGCCTTGATTGGCAACGATGTAGATCAAAAAAGGGACCAACAAAAGCCTCTGATTTGGTCTTTGTTGTCTAAAGCTATGGCTATGACTTTCTGAAAGGTTCGGAGCCAAGAGATTTGAGCCACACTTTCAAATTGTGGGGATTGGTCAATCCCCATGGTGCAATCAGAATGGAGCAAAAAGACATCCAGCTGCCACTTGCTTTGGTATGAGTCAAAAAACCACTGAACCAGGGCTTTTGGACTCATACTCTTGAGATCTCTTGAGTCTATCCTAATACCTAGTCAAAAACGGGATTTCCACATACCCTCTGGTAATTTAACATAGCTATTGAACATGGCCATAGAAATAGTGGATTTTCCCATGAAAAATTGCCATTTTCAATAGCAAACTGTTAAATTACCAGAGGGTATATCATTAAATTTCACTACATCCCAATAAATTCCATTAAACCTCCATTAACCCCCATTAAACCTCCATTAAACCATAGGGTATCGTCGCTATCGTAGTTAACCAATTTCTCCCAATTTTGCTCTGTTGAATCCCCTTTTTTTTTGCCAGCTGGGATGCTTCCAGCGTTTGCCCGTGCAGTGCCCTCGCGGCGATGTGCTTAGCTTCTGCGTATATCTATTATAATATATATATATACATACATACATACATACATACTTATGTACTTACTGTATGTATTTATATAGCTATATATAATATGTATATATAATTAAATATATATATATATATCAATATATATATATATAATTATAATATAATATGATTTAATATGATATATTATAATATGATATAATATAATATGACAATATAATATGATATAATATAATATAGAATATACTATGATATAATATAGTATGATATGATATAATGTAATATGATATAATATAATATAATATAATGTAATATGATATAATATAATATGATATAATATAATATGATATAATATAATATGATATAATATAATATGATATAATATAATATATAATATAATATGATATAATATAATATCATGTAATATAACATAATATGATATAATATAATATAATATAAATATGATTAATATTATATATATATATATCAAAGAACACTAGTACCAGCAGTTTTCACACCATTGGACCGTCGGCTCAAAACTTGGTGTCAGGTACCTCGAGCCGAAACATGCGGCAATGATGGACCGCCCAGAGCGTTGCAGATGGTCAGCGCCTAAATGATGTGCAACGGTCTGGGATTTTCTTGTTGGGAACTCTCGGAAATCATAGAAGAACCATGAAGAAACCATGGTTTCCCAATCAAATCTAGCAAATATAATGATTTGAGCGTCAACTCTGGAGGAAATTATGAATCGTCGCATCAAATGTAGGGCTTGAACCCTCATTTTCCTCGCAGAAAACAATCCAATGAATTGAGCTTTGTATGACATGGTGAAGACCAAGATGATCATGCGTAAGCTTTGTGTATGCAAGATATGAGAATGGAAACTCATCATTTGGTGCACTTCATCTATATACAACTGAGAGGTTTTAGATAGCTAAGCTTGTTTGCTGAAGGGATCATATACGGTATATCACCAAAAGGATGGGACAGGTACAGCAAGGAAAATCATCCTGCCTTCCTCGGTCCTGGTCAAGTGCTCCAGAGTGCTGGCGTTCAAGACACTGGTGGCCTCTGTAGTTCACATGATCATTTCATTGCTGATGATTTTTTGGAAGTGAATAACCCCTCCATTCATATGGCATATATGGTATGTTTAGGTTTTGCTCCATGTTTGTGGGCAAGATTGGGAATGTGTGACAACACGGCCATGTTTCTGTCCGCGCAGCCATCAAGGGTTTGACCCATAGCCATATGCACCATGGGTTTAGGGATCAAACTCAAGAACATAGGCACCACAGATTTTCGTTGGTTTTAAGACTTCAAGCATGCCATACCCATCTTTGACCAGTAGACCTATGTGCGTTTTTCCTCACAGCTACACTGATCCCAGAAAATAGAAAGGAAAAATCCTACTTGTAATTTGAATCGGAACAGATCGCTTGAGCCAGCTAACGACTATCTTTTTCCGGACACCTCTACTTCTTGATGTCGTATAGAAGACTCTATTCTGATTGTTTTCTAGAACCCAATGGCCATATTATATAATATCTGATTGGTGGTTTGGAACATTTTTTTCCATATATAGGGAATAATCATCCCAACTGACTTTCATATTTTTCAGAGGGGTTGGTATACCACCAACCAGATATACATGTAACAACCACCTTATTGGCTAAATCTTTATTTCGGATTGATGTCAAAAATAGCTGAGGCTTTTGGAAGTGGATGGTGGGAAAATCTATAGGAAAACCCGATGATTTTGGGGTAAAAACATCATGGGTTTGCTGTAGATTTCCCCAACAAAACCACTCCATTGATATGGGATATATATATATGATATATTAATAATCTTCATATAATAACATTGATATAGGAAATTTGCCTTGATTTCCCATGGATATAGTGGATCTTTTGGATTTCTTATTGCAATCTGACTTCCCGATCTTGTCTACTTGACACACTCTTGGACGCTTAGTGTTGCGGCATGTAACGAGCGCAGCGTTGCGCAATGCCGGATGGGCTGAAGCCTTTTGTTGACCACTATGCCTGGTACTTAGGTGCTGGAAAAGTGGTCAAACTCATTGGGATATCACCAGCAATATTGCCTGGAAGTGGTGCGCAAAGTGGTTTCCAGCAATATCTGGTAATCAAACGTGGCAATGGAAAAATCAAGTAATTACTTGTAAATTATGTTCCCATTTTAACGATGTAGACCTTCATTTATAGGGGATTTTCCAGCCACGTTTGACCAGAGAGTGACTGATGATCAGTCTGAGTCATCCGGCTTCAACTTGACCGTTTCCAAAAGTCGATTGTCATTCGAAAACGAATGGATATTAGGGACATCCGCAATTCATGCCAATGTGATTCTAGAAAATATCATCACCCATTGTATCCTATTCAAAATCAGAATCAGCAGAATCAAGCCACTCCGGCTGGATATGGTTGGATCTTCCGGATATGTTTCACCCATCATTGGCAATCGATCAGGCGGTGTTGGAGTGCTCTCCTAGCAACACACCGGAACAGCTGAAGAAGGTGGAACAAATGGGTGAGGAGAATGAGCAAAAACAGAGCATGGGATGGTGAACAAAAAAAAAAACACCAACAATTTGTGGGGGTTTTAAGCCGGAACTAGTCATGATGGCTCCCAAATGGTAGTTGGGGATGATTAACCATGGCAAGTTGTTGCGTCAAGTTGAGTCTACGCAACGTGTGAAAGAGAAGCATTCATAGAACTCGAAGCAAACCAAGGCTTGGCAGGAAGGGATGAGTCAATGAATGCAATGATGAGCCTCCAAGCAAGGTCGCCATCAGGAGATTTGTCCGAAAATATGGACCGGGCATAGGGTTTGTAAACAAGTTGAGTACCGAAAATCCATACACCTGCCTGACATGACCCCTCATTCTTCTTCATTTTGGCAGGTTCAGGACCCATATTTCAGGGGTGTAGGAAAACAGTTCTGGAGGTTAAAATGCACATGGGCCGACTCAAATGATTCTGAGCCAGACTTTGTGCATGAATCCACATCCACTAGCAATCTTGGGTTATATAATGTTATATACATATATTTAAAATACATGGCAATGGAGGATTATAGACTTTATATATCTTTATATGACTTTATGATACTTTATACATCTTTATGCTTTCCTGATTCTGGCATACGGCGGCGCCAGGCATATCATGAGAAGCTACGACAGCAAGGTCCTTAAGGATCGACTTATAGATTTGGCTATGGCTCAATACCTATGAAAATACCATATTTTGAGTGGGTTATTCACATCCATTTTAACCCAGCTATGACTTGGGGTTCACCAGGGTTTTGACATGTTTTGACCCATCCCCATTTAATAGATGATGTTCCCAGCTCTAAGCCTCCATTCTCCTCCATGTGGCGAGGTTTCACCCAGATAAAAGGCCCTGGAGCGCCGGGGATTACGGGCAGCAGGCGCGGCCAAGGCGGCCAAGGAACCAGGCTCTGGTTTCAAGATGGCAAAAGCCGCATGTTGGATGAAAAAATGAAGATTGGACATGATTGGGAGCGACATTTCATGACATTTTCACATTTGATTAAAATTTGATTGTTGGAGTCTATCAGACAGTGAGTATTGGATCAAATGTCTACATTTGGTTGTTTGATTTTAAAGTTCTTTCTTTTTTCCGGATATTTAGAGTGTAGAAGAAAACAACTGGAGCTCAGGTCACTCAGTCGCTGAACGAGGTGAGCGGGAATGGGGCATCCCAGTCAGATCCAGTATAGCTGACATTGAATGATCATGTGATAATCGTGCATAACAATCAATATGATAGCCGCCCATTTATATCCAGTCATTCATACACATATATATATATATGAGGTTAATAATGGGTTATATATATATATAGGTTATAAGCATATGAGTATATTATATATATATCATATATCATATATAATATATATATATCATATATATATACCCATTGTTGACCTAGATATGAAGCCACGAATCCTAATGGATGCAGCTGGAAGGCCTGGGAGGCCCTGCGCTTTCCAGCGCTTCGGGAGGTGCAAGACCTGCCGCTGGATGACGTTTCCGAAGAAAAGCGATGAAAGTGAAGATATCAGAAGACATCAGAAAATATAATTAATATAATATACTATAATATAATATAATATGATATGATATGATATAATATGTATGTATATATAATTATATATATAATTATATATATTGTGGATATATTTATATATACACATGATTATTATACAGATCCTTTTTGTTGAGGGTTCAAAAAAATAACAGAGAACATCGCCTAGAACACTCAAGCTTGAGGCGGGACTCACGTTTCGATCTGGGTGAAATTTGACACCAAATGTCATGCTGCGGAAGGCCTATGATGTCATCTGGCATCGAGAGAAGTCGCTTTGCCCAGAAACCTGGTACACGCCAAATTGCTCATGGTTCACATGCGGAAACGGGAAACATATGTTTTATAAATGTTAAGAAACATCCTGTGCAAGTCGATTTGCATGTCGACGACTGCACAGGTCGAAGACAGTGATCCAATACACATCTGAAGCCTGATTGAGACTGACCAGTTGTCAGCTCACCAACAGCACAATCCCTTAATGGCAGCCTGGACAATCCCTTAATCACTGATTTTCCCACCAAGTTACCCTCTGGTAATTTAACAGTTTGCTATTGAAAATGACCATTTATAGTGGATTTTCCCATTAAAAATGGTGATTTTCCATAGTTTTTTGTATGTTTACCAGAGGGTACACCCATTTTTTGAGAGGATGTTCCAGCCATATCCAGCCATGAACACCAGACATTTCTGGGTCCATCTGGGTCCCTTCGGTCCCTAGGACGCCTGCCCCAGCGCCGGCGCCGCCACAACCGCCACCTCCGCCGGATCGGGAAGTGCGAGAGCCACAGCGCGGACGGTCGAGGAGGTTAGAGAAGCTCAGGGGGATGGTAGTGTCAATGGGCATGTGAATATGCTAGATTTATATGCATAATTATAATATTTACAATGTATATATATATACATAATGGGAATATGATGGGAATATAGTGAACGGGAGTTAATATATTAAACTGGGCAAATTAGAGCGACCTCACTGCGACCTCACTGGAATGATGCTTAGTATAGGGACTTATCCCAAAATCACCTTAGTTCAGGTTAGTGAATTACTTTCATGTACCTTAGTAACCAATCGTTAGTTTCAAATTCGAATATTGACTAAAACTGAGTCATATGAATAGAGTGCAACTCAAGAGAATCTAAAAGGAGTATATCAGGAATATTGTGGGACAACAATGCTATGCGGGATATTAATGGGAATATGAATAGTAACTAAGCATAGAACCAACTATGCAATCAAATATAGCAGGATATGGGAATAGCAAACATTACTCCCCTCCCATCCCCAGCAACAATAATGGGAATCTGTCTCACATATTATGGGATGTTTTAGTAGGAATATACCAACCATCATGGAGAAAACATTGGATATATATAGATATATACATGTATATTGCTTTTTTTGGACTTAATGGGCATTCATGAAACATGCAACGTGGGAGATTTTACAATCATAGGGAACATCACCAAAAAGCCTTATAGGGAAAATGTTGATCAACCACGAAATGTGTTTTTTCCACTTTGTTTTCCAACAAACGAATAAGCACATGACAATGATGCTATTCCCTTCGAGATCTCCCAGGTGCGCAACCGCATTTTTTGTTGGCAGAAAGCCGTTCGAAATCCCATGACATCTCACCGTAGAAGGTGGATTTCATATCTTATTCATAATTATATCTCACTTGTAACATTATATCCCATTAAATCTCCCCATAAATGGTTTGTTATAGTTTATAACATCTTTTCATATGCAGTTTAGTTCCATCCCCATTTCCGGGCACTTAGTTGTTTAAAATCCATAGTTGAATTGTTCCATTCCATTGGAATAAAACAATAGTATTAATTATCATCAAGCATGTTGTCCCTACATCATCCTATATCCCATAACATACCACGATAGATCATTATATCGCACAACAGTGTATTCAATGCTAATCCCCCCTAGGTATCGACGTATTATATCCAATGATCAATCTACATATCCCATAGGAAGGATATAGCATGTCAATATCCCCATATATATATTGTCATTGTATTATGTCGTTGGTTGTATATGCCACCACTGTATATTATCCCACTATATCTTTACATATCTATATCATCATCATATGAATCATAACCATGTTATGATGTATAGATACCCATGTATATCCCATTAGCCATAGTTGATTAATTGTATTCCATTAGAAACAACACACTAGTATTACATATCCACATAGCATATTCCATAACATCTACTTATATAGTTATCTATATACATATGAGCAGCGTTCTAAAGTCCCCCTTACTTATTTAGTATTGTGCTGGAAATAATTCATCTGAAATGTGCATTTTTCCTAGGTTTCGCTAGGTTTCGTTAGGTTTCCGTAAGGTTTGCCGTAAGCGGTCTTCAAGACTCATTTTGCCGTAAGCGAAACGTAAGACGAATTCATGTTATGTCATGACAGCTGGGCTCGGCTCGAGTGACAATGCAATGAAGGGAAATGTTGATTTATAATGGGAAACATCCATGGTATCAACAAGAAAATAACTATAGTGGGGGTCTATTGAGATTTACATCTACGTACAGTCGCATGAACCCTCGGAGCAACTGAAGTCAAATGGATTGGTTTGGGAAGACATCTATTTTCCAGCTCTTTGATGTTTCAAGTTCCAGGGCCTAGGTTGCCTTAGATGGCCACTTGTGTAAGTATCCCATGTACCATGGACATAATGAAAGCCGTTGACTGTCAGCGAATCGTAAGCACAAGTCTTGTTAAAGCTCTCGCGTAAGCAAAGCCTTGGAAAACGAAAGAGTTGCGCAAGCTTTGCCGTAGGCCAGGAGCATCGGTTTACCGAAATGAAAGACTGACCATGGCTCATATATGTATAAATATATATATATATATATATATTCCCATATAATTACCTATCCCCATCATATATTGCTGCTTATATCCCATTATATCCCATTATATCCCATTATATCCCATTATATCCCATTATATCCCATTATATCCCATTATATCCCATTATATCCCATTATATTCCATTATATCCCATTATATCCCATTATATCCCATTAATCGACTTATCATAACCCAACCCGTAGATTAATCGATTTAATTTACGATATGATATATTAATATGCATACATACGTAAAAATGTCCCATTAACCATAGTTATAGTTGATTAGTGATATCCAAGTATATACATACATACATACATACATTACATTACATTAAATTACATTACATTAAATTACATTACATTAAATTACATTACATTAAATTACATTACATTAAATTACATTACATACATACATACATACATACATACATACATACATACATACATACATTACATACATACATTAATTACATTAAACTACATTACACACATTACATACATTACATACATTACATACATTACATACATTACATACATTACATACATTACATACATTACATACATTACATAAATTGCATACATTGAATACATTACATACATTACATTCATTACATACATTACATACATTACATACATTACATACATACATAACATTACATTACGTTACGTTACGTTAAATTACATTACATTACATACATACATACATATCCAAATCACCATTAAAAAACAACATAAAAGAAAACAAAAAACTGTATCCAATATTAACCCATGATATCCCATTGTACATACATTATCACTAACCCATTTGGCTACCTCAGCCGCAGGCGTCATGACGAACATGATGCGCCAGCTGAGGCATCGGATACTGAGGCGATGCAACGAAAGGCGGGGATGGGGTGTCTTCCAAGTGATGGCCATGAAACTCTAGGGTGACTCTGAAAACATGTGGAAACAAATGAGAAAAAACTGGGAAAACTGTTGAAGAATATGTGTATATAAAAGGTGGAAAAGTATGGTGAACTGTTTTCAACCATGCTTTTGCCAAGTTGAATGAGATTTCAACCAAACTCACAGCAAGAAATCATAGATTCCAGGTGGTATTCTTGCCTTTTTCCGGACCGTGCATTCAGTAATTTTGCAGGACATCAAGGGTGCAGCCCAGGGAGTCTAGATGACAAAGTGGAGAGCTTCACTAGTTGACATAGAATACATGTTCCTATATATATATATATATACGTATTATATTATATATACATATATGTATATATATATATATTTATAATTATATATATATATACATATTCAGGTTGAGGACCACCAAATTTGATGAGTCAGAAAACCATGTTCGCATCAAAAATAGCACTGTCATTTACCCTCTGGTAAACTAACAGTTTGCTATTGAAAATGGCCATTTATAGTGAGTTGTCCTAGTAAAAATTGTGATTTTCCATAGTTATGTTAGTTTACCAAAGGGTATATTTTTGGGGTTAAATCCTCAATGTGCAGACACCCAGTAGTCAAATGATCATCGCAGGCAGATGAGTTGAAAGGCGAAGGCAATCAGCTCTACCGAAACGTGTCGGCACCCAACCTGATTGTTGGAACATGTGGAAGCTGGTTTGAATCCATGGATGTCCCACCTTTCTTATAGCCCGGAATCATTGAATAATGTTGAAGATGTTTCTGGTAAAAGATTGATCGTGACTTATGACTTTGAGATACTTTGAGGATGTTGGGGTAGTGAGTTCAAAAGTATTTCAAAGGGTTTCGATTCACTTTTCATGGCATGTAGCAGCCATGTGGATTGGACTCATGACATCCACGGCTTGATGATCACTGGTATGTTTTCCAAAATTAGATGATGGGAATACAGGAAACCTCAGTGAGGTAAACCCAATAAAACATTCGGAATTGGGGTGGTTGATTATTGACTTTACCACTACTTGGGCAAGAAAACGTGATGTTCCTGTGATTCGTTCCAACTAAACCAGCCACCATTGATGCCCCCAATTGCAAGGCCCAAGCAGCAATGGCAACCGTGCGCTCTTCCGAAGCAGTCGGGTGCTTTGGGTGTGTGAAGTTGTTGGTATAAGTGTAACCAAATATCAGGGATATATTCTATATCAATATATACATATACATATACATATACATATACATATACATATACATATACATATACATATATATGTGCTTATGTACCTTTCTTTCATTGATTTTCCACAAACAGATGGCGGAATTGTAGCTCAACTTCACAGCTGAGGCCGACAGCCTTGAGGTTCGAATGACCGCGATGCAACAGACCGGGACCCCGGGAAAGCCCAGTGGAAGCTGATTAGAATCCCATCGAAGTGTGCTCCAGTTGAGGTATCGACTTGCCATCCGCAAATACAGCGATGCGATTCAGTGTTGAGCTTAGAAAATCCAATCCTTCAGCAGCTGTGAACTTCTTGTGCGGTAATCATCACCATTATGATGTTGATGTTGATGATTATTGCCATTGTTGTTATCATTGTTATCTATTTAAAAAGAGAACTTGTTATCGATTGATTCGGTTAAGTTCTGTATTCTATCGTGTTCTATCGTGTTTTCTGTACATTTCAACTTTCGCATTGTCTTCTCCGATGTTTCTGTTGTGGGATGAGAATCGTGGAGCTAAGATGTCCCGTGCTGGTTCAATCCCGTTTCTTGTTGATTAAATCATCTTAAATCTCCATCCTCAGATCTTCCACTCCCTATCGGTTTTAAGGTATATCTTGGTATTAAAAGCCCTGGTTTCCTGATGCTTCTTGTAGGTTTTCCTTGAAATCTCATCATATCAATGCCGAAACTAGCCATTGAACCTCGAGGCTGACGCCCCAGAACCATCGACTTTGGAGCAATCGCGCCCTATGCCATGCAGCCTTGAAACAGTGGGACCAGTGTCGAGAGGCGCCCATGGGACTTTGGGGATATCATCTCACATGTTGATGTTCTTTGAAAATGATGGGAAAACCACCCAAAATGCCATGGTGAAAATGCTTCCATGTTTGGAAATGACCCAACATGGCCTGAAATCAGCCGCGGATGGCTCACAGGACAGGAAGGAGTGAAGATTTGTAACTTTAGATGATTCAAGATACCATCCGGTGTTCATCAAACATGGTTTGCTGGAAAATCTACTGTTTATAGATGTTGTTCCCAGCTATAAACCTCCACAAAAATTTCAAGGATTTTCTATTGCCATCTGTGATTACCCCAGGATAATTCAAGCATTTCATGACACGAGATCTTGGTATACATTTCCATGATATGTACACATCGCAGGGTCCCCTAGACAGCTGTCGAGCTGCAGTGGAACGGAGGGTCCAGCAGCAAAGCTCTTTCCTTCTCATTGAGCTTTGCAGCAGCTGATGTTTGTTCGGCTCTTTGGCAGAGTGGAGATGGAAGTCACTTTAGGAGGCAAAAGCGGATGGAGGATGATGATAGATGATAAAAACGAAGTCTGAATCCTGTTGCATTGTTTTGTTGGGCCAGTCTTGGATCTATGGGATCTTGAGGATCTATGGTACGGTATCTATGGAAGCTGAAGTCTGGACCAAGCCCAGGCCAAGCATTGCATGTGTTTCTTTGCCATTCATCTCAACTTGCATCAGTTGAGTGCCGGTTCCTGCCTTCGCTACTCAACATATGTTTGTTCGCCTCAACTGCGGTGATTTGTCTGACGACTTTCCAAGGTTTTGAGGCCTCCCATGGACGACTTTCAGGCCAAATCTGCGATGTCGGAAGTGCAGCAGTGCAGCAGTAAAAACTGAAAAACCACAGGATTTTCCGCCATGATTTGACCAACAGGACCTGTCTCCATAGTGACATAGTGAAACTTTCACTGAAAGCTTCCATTTCCATGTGTTGATTCAAACCAATGTTTTTTTTGGGACGAGAACACTGATATCCCTCATATGTGGGGCACTGAATGAGGTGAAAAAAAACGAATAGTCAAAATCCATGAAACTCCTCTGAATCTTGAAGTTTGACCCGCGATCATGACGACATATCCCCGATATTCCCCGATCACCATCCCAACTGATATTGAGAATCTTGATATATGGTGATACATCTCAATACTATTACTTCACCTCCAGTGATTTCAATGTTACAACTCTCCACTAAGCAATATGTTCTAACCAACTCTCCACTGAGCCTATCACATTTTTTCTCAATACATGTTCAAATCAGTTCAAATCAATGTCTTCCCGCCGTCATTCCCCCAGTCCACCGAGGATTCAAAGCTCCACCTTTTCCCCCATTCGTCCTGTCGTGGCCAGGAGCGGCTTCGTTTTGCCTGGCAGCTGGCCAAGGGCACAGCGCTGACCATGGAGGCGATCCAGAAAGGGCAGAACAGCAGCAGGGCGCGGCAAGCCCTACGTGCCTTGATCCTTGGTGGTGGAGGTTTTGACGGGATTTTAAGCATCAAAGCATCAAAACCATGGAGATCATAATGGTGATATGATGGGGAATATTGGGATTGTAATTGGAATTGTAATGGGGATATAATGAGGATATAATGGGGATATAATTCCAAAAAAAGCTTGGCCCCAAGAAATTTATTTGGAATACATTTTGGAACAACCCCACGTAGGCACCACACACGGGGATCATCAACTTCACATGGGGATGTAATATGATGTAATGAGAGTGATGACCATAACTTAGTATTGAAACCTATGGTGGCGACCACTACCCAAAACGAACCCCCCAATAAAATGGCCATCTCCATTCACAGGTGGATTTTGTCTGAAAAAAGGTCAAGCAAAAACCGCTCAAATGGCCAGGAAATTCATGGAATTTCAATAGCGAAAAGATGGGATCTGGAGGATCCCAAAGTCACCATAGGTTTCAATACTAAAATGGTATAGCATGGTGCAATGACTTGACCTGGATGATTTGGGGGAGCCCTATTTCAGGAAACCTGCAAAATGTGAATGGATTTGGGGGAATCATGCCCACAGCTGGCCGTATGATAGCAGCTATTTTCAGGTTAGTAAATTATTCGAATTCAGAATTAATGAACTTGAAAGTATTTGGTTGGTGGTTTGGAACATGTGTTATGACTTTCCATATATTGGGAATGTCATCATCCCAACTGACTTTCATATGTTTCAGAGGGGGTAGGTCAACCACCAACCAGGTATGATTGGTAGTAATGATGGTTCATGATGGTTGATTAATTATTGATGGCTGATCATTAATTGTTGATGGTCAATGATGGTCAATATACCATTCAACACGACATATGACAAAGTAGCCTCAAGATGCGGCACCCAAATCATATGTGGTGGCATAGTGTATATCTATGGTCGTCCTGTTTTTTTCTACGACGGCTCTGACAAAACGTCTACCCCTTTTCGATGCCACCCCTTTTGGGAGCAACGAATCTGACGCTTTCCCTCCATTCGAGATAAGACAATCTTCGGGACAGAAACTGGGACATTCCAAACATTCCAAAATCTTTGACTAGTAACAACTTGGAATGTTTAGGTTACTCTTAAACCAAAAAAAAAACATGAAAGTTTCCTTCCCGCTACCTCTAGAAACAACTTGGTGGGGAACCCCGCTTTGGATTGTGATTTTTTCCCTATTTCAGGATGGCAGACCCAGTTGTGACCCAAGTGACCCAAGTGACCCAAGTTTCTCATGGCCACCAAGCCCCAAAAATTACATCCATTTTCCATTTGGTAAATACACGGTTTTTAACTGGAAAACTATTTGTTTGGGAATAGAGCTTATCAATATCAATCATTATCCCCATGAATACTCTAATTATAACCATAAACCATAGGTTTTTCCGCCACTTTTTTCTTCGGCAACTGAACGCGATTTCGGGACGACCCCCCGGATAGGCGTGGTGCCCGGAGCGCAGTTAGCGAAATTTGCGCTGAAGAACCGCGGGGGCCGTCGCATCGTGGGGCGCTATATGGAACCACCGGATGCGTATCGTGTAGCGGAGAGCAGGCTGGGACTGGGTGTGTATGTCCATTACTCTAGTGTATGTGAGAAAGTAAGAATATTTATATTATATTAGACTATATCATTTGATATCATTTCATATCATATATATATATATATGTATATACATATATATATACATGTATGTTGTATTATTTTTATTATATTACACTACATTCTTGGATTTTATTATTGTTATTATTATTTCACATTACATTATATTACCTATATTTTATTGAATATTGCAATATATTTACGGAATAATATGTGTTGTTATTTTGAATACTGAATATTGAATATTGAATGATATCATATGATATCATATGATATTATGTTGATTTTTTGTAAATGTCACTATTGCTGTATGTATCTATTTATATAGTTATATGTATCGATATATTGTTTGTATACTGTAATGATTACTGGAATGGGTTATAAATAAATATAAATATATATATATATGTGTGTCTTGAACGGAGGTGGGTTGCGCACCCGCAATTCAGACTTTGATCTTCCAGCCCTAAAAAATTACATGGATGTTGAAACATGGGGTGGGGGTGGTTTCGATGGTCAATTTACAGCAGATTTTCAACATGATTAATATATATATATATACCTATATGTGTGTGTACATAATCTATTTAATGTATTTAATATATATATATATATATATATGTATACATATATCTATATATTATACATATGTGTTTACTTAATATAGATGTGATATATAGATATATATATATATATGATATATCTATATATATGTATGTATATATATATGCGTATCATGCAACTGTACTGGATCATTTGGATCCTGTTCAATTATCTACTGTGTCTCTCAGATAGGTGATCATAAAACAACAGATGGTCTCTTGGAAGATGACGACGACGACGACAACAACCACAACAACAATTAGTCAGGGACCAGTTGTGCTTTGAACACCATTGTGTGGAAATAGTTGGAAATATGTCATGGAATTGACACCAACATTTTGTGTGCAACATGTACATAATAAGATACTATATATATATACAAGAATAATGATATGATATATATATATACACCTAGGGAGTTGAAGATGCACCTTGGATTTTCAATGTGAGAATAGATTCGGAGTCTCTGTTGCGATGTTTTTCTTGCTCACTGTTCCCGAGCTGTTTTTGACATTTTCGCTCCGAAAAGTGTCGTACCTGTTTATCCTTATCAATCACCTCTTAACTTTCCTTTCTGATATGTTCTTCATTTTGATTCCTCAAACCTCACCACTTGAGGTGTGTAGTGGTCTACTGCCCAAGCGAGTTTGATGGTGGTGCGGGCGCCGAAGAATGTTTGCCTTTGTGCCTCTCGGCCAAGCGGCGTTGGAATGGGGGCAATGGGGGATGGGCCTGGGATGGGTCCGTGGAACTGGAGAAATCTGCTGAATCTTGGAGGGTCAGTATCCACTTTGATTTTGACCCATTGCCAAGTTAAGTACATGAAACAGTTATTCCTAAAGACCAAAGGAAACTCCCCAAGACCTGAGGTCTTGAAGTCTTACCCCTTGGCATTGCGGTCTTTGCCATCGACTTAACTCCCACCAAGCAGAGTCTCTGTCGCCTGGAAGACGTAGAATGTGCCGTGGCCGCGTTGCGCGATGGTAGCCTCCCAGGTTTGGCCAACACATCGCACTGCCTGGTGGCCCTCTGGGGCCGCTCCACTGGCGCGGTGGCTGCCCTGCAATATGCCACCCAGGATCCCTCCGTGGCTGCCCTGGTGATGGATTCCGCCTACAGTGATTTGACCAACTTGGCACCAATGGCACCCCTCTTTTCGCCGGTCTCCAACTTTTGTCAGCTGCTGGGAAATACCAGTTTTGTCCAACCTCTGGAAGTGGCCAAGTCTTGTTTTGTCCCTGGCTTCATTTTACATGCTGCCGAAGATCGGATGGTTCCCAGTGACTGCGCCAGAGACTTGCGCAGCAACTATGCTGGCGAGGCTCAAGTGCTGCTGATGCCCAAGTGTTCCCATGACTCGCATCGACCTGGCTGGGCCCTGGCACGTGCCAGCCTGTTTCTGGCCAGGGCTTTCAAGTTGGAAAACTCGGCCGTGGCGAAGCTGGATTTGTACCTCACTAAGGTGGTGAGCTCTGAGGAGAACCTGGACAAACAGCTGGAAAGACAGGCTGAAGATTTATTGAAATCCAATGAACCTCAGCTGAGGCTTCACGGTTTGTTGCTGAAAGCTGCAAATGCTTGTGGTCACAGAGTTGGGTTCCATCGGAGCCTGGCGAAAGGTCAGAAAAGTCGTGGCCGAAATGGAGTTCTCGGTGTTCACTATGCCATTCTCATTCAGCTTCCACGCTTTGAACACGAAGTTTGCATTGCCTGGGCTGCGGAATCAACGGAGTGCAGAGGCATGGTTCATTTCCTGACCATCTCCTGTACATCTTTGAGTATCTCTAGGGCGGTGATAAGACGGGACGAGAATCTTCATCGAGTTGCAGTTCAGGATCTGATGGTGAAGGAGAGATGTATGATGATGTATGCCGTCGAGCCATTGGGGTCCAAAAATGATCAAAAATGGGTACAGGCCCCGAAAATGTGGCTATGTTGACAAGGGAAAATGGTGTGATAAGCCAATGATTTGTGCGAGTATTACCATATGTTCAGGCAAATCCACTTTGGCCTAAGGGAGCCTAACGCTCATCCCACCCTTCATAGGGATTCACCTTCTGCTCAGCCCTGCGTCAAGGCTTTGAACCCCCTACTTCTAGACACCATGACGCATGTTGACTTTTGTCCCTGGATCATTTGAAATTCGACAGGTTTCTGGTCCGCAATACGTGCTTCCCTTCAGTGCCCAGGATTTGAAATTGCTTCCCAGAGAGAAAGCACACTGCCTAATGTTGACCCTCAGCGATTTTGGTCGCATCGACGTGAAGATTGGCAACGCTCAAGCCTTGCAATTCCCTGGCACCAAGGACAAACAAATCCAGGGAAAGGATGGTGGAAAAACATTGAACAGCATGAAATCACCAGTATTATATATTATTATTATTATTATTAAGTATGAGATTAAACCTATGGTTCTTTGGGGAACGACCTTGATGATTTCACATCAAGGCTATATATTTTGATGTTAGGGTGCCTTGTTCTGCAGTTTGAGGACTGCGGTGCATTGGAAAGCGCAGCACTTTGGACGGCTGCAATGGGCGATTCCCGACTGCCCCAAGTTAAGGTCCGATTTGGCTGGGGTGGGCAGGAGATGAAGTCGGTTTTCCGGGATGGGGATGGGTTTGTTGCAATTTTTGCTGTGAGAAACCCATGGGATTTTGAGCGTGGATTTGATGATCGATTTCAAAGACCCGGTTCACTCGTCGGCGGCCGAGTTCTTGGGAAGCTGGAAAAAACCCATGATTTTTCCATTCAACCATCATTCTTAACCATCATTAACCATCATTAACCATCATTAACCATCATTAACCATCATTAACCATCATTAACCATCATTAACCATCATTCCATATACCCCAACTCCATCTTGGGATATCCGCCAGGATGAGTTGCTTCCTGCCAAGCTTATACCAGGCCCTGGAGATCTCCCGGGAAATGTGCGCCAAGTTAGGGCCGTCTTACCGGGATTTTGGGCTACTCAGGTTCCAACGAACATGTTTCAATGCTACAGGCGTTGGCCATGAGCAGGGGAAACTGATGATGATCCAAATGTGTTTCTGAGGGTTTCAGCATGGGTTAAATAGAGTTTATCGTGCATCTATCTACTGTTGCATGGCTTCCTAAATAAGCTTATCACAAAGGGGCATTGGATCAGTCGTAGACGTAGACCAGGATTCCTATATATCAATCTATATCAATCTATAAATATATATATATAAGTAGTTTATCATAATCATCAATGTATTGATTTAGAATATTATATATATATATATGAACATCATAATCATCAATTAATCATCAATATAGTTATCAATTATCAATTCATCATCACTACAGCTATCAATTATCAACTAATCATCAATATAGTTCATCTTAATCATCGATCATAATCATCATAACCATCATAATCATCATAATCATCATAATCATCATAAGCATCATAATCATTCATCTATAAGTAGTTCATCCAATATATATATATATACATATATGTATACATATTACTGCAATCATTATTCCGTAGTAAATCCACATATGAATCTAGATCCTCAGTGTCCTTAACGTCGCGTCGCGCTGTCGTCAGTTGCTGATCCCTGTGCTGATCCCATCGTCGCCCCGAAAGCCCACGCGAAAGCCCAAGCCTTGGAGGAAGTCCAACGGGGGGCGACCAGAAAAAAACAGATAGTATATAGATACTAGATATTGTATAGATAGATATCATACTAGATACTAGATAGATACTAGGTTTACTAGGTATTATATTATTATATAGATACTAGATATTGTATAGATATCAGGAGGATGCCAGATACTATGATATTAGGATTATATGATATCAGGATGATACTAGATATTATATCACAAGGATTGCCTCCACCAGTTGGAGAGACTTCTCTTTGTTTTAGGCCTCTTTTTAGATATCATCGAACAAATATGACACGTATGTAATGTGGTTAAAACAATTCCAGAAACCATCCCCCCAGTCATCACCATTTTTATAGGTGGTATGGTTACCATTCCCAGTCATGGGTAGTTTATAGCATTGTTTTACCCAAATTAGCATTAATCACTAAATGAATCACCATCATTAACCATATTATTACCAATTGTTAATCATTCTTAACCATCATTAACCAGTGAAAAATATATGTACATACCCCCAGTCATCACCATGTTTATAGGTGCTATGGTTACCATTCCCTGGGTAGTTTATGGCATTGTTTTAACCACCTTCAATGAACCATGACGATTGGATCCAGGAGGCCAGCCTTTTTTCCCTTGACAGCCTCCCAGCGTCCGCAGCGGAGCTTGCCATGCAAATGTGACGCGGCAGAACCCCCCCAAAAAAGGTATGACCCGTAAAAAATGGTTGGTTACTGGGTAGTTACCCTCTGGTTATTTAACATAGCCATGGAAAATGGCCCATTTATAGATGGTTTACCTATTAAAAATGGTGATTTTCCATGGCTATGTTAAATAACCAGATGGTAATGATAATTAGCTATCAATAACCAGGTTCGCTGCAACCTCTTGAATCTCTTGAATTTTTCAATGTCATCAACAGGGAGTCAAATTGTTGATGTGAATTTTAATTTTTCTTTGCATGTTTTTCCCGCTAATATCCAGTGCTGGGAGCAACCGTGGATATGTAGTTCTCCGGTCGGAATTTGGACACCATCCGGCAGATTTTGGGGATGTGTTCAGTGGTAAAATGTGGTAAAACATCCCGTGGGTTGGGCATCCAACCATTTGACCCGCACCCAAATGGAGTCCTAAGATACTTACCCTCTGGTAAACCAACATAACTAAGGAAAATCATCATTTTTAATGGGAAAATGAACTATAAATTACCAGAGAATATCATACTTCGCTTTCAAAGTCGAGGACAACATGTTGGAAAACCGCAAAGGCCATATGCTTGGCCTCTTTGCATGCCAGTAATGCCAATAATTCTTGATGATTTTCTGTCTCAACCATCGTCGAGTGATAACGTGATGACTGATTCGTGGAATCTATTTCAATGCATGATACACATCGATATACAGATATTGATATACATGATGAACACTGGTGTGTGATTTATTAAATATCTACAATATGGTTTGATGGACACAGTTACCTTCCTCTCAGTATAACTTGATATGTGATTTGGACTGAGGGATAGGAGCTCAAGTTGTGTCTCAACCTATATGTTTCTCATAAATAGGGTGCCCCAAAATCCATCGGTTTATCGGCTTTCCCAACCACTGCTCACTTCCAGGCAGCAAAAAGCGCCGAATCCTGTCCATACTTTGCAAGACAAGGACCTGTGAACTGCCCATGTTGGAACATGCTAACGTGCCTCATAAAGCTGTATATTCCGTGGCTTCGCTGACGGCAGCGAATGTAGCTACGACAGAAGGAGATTTTGGCCAGCGTTGATTGTATTTTTGCACAAACTGTTGCTGTTTGCAAGGAAGATACATCAATGGTGAAAAAGAAGCGATATTCCAGCAACTTGGCACTGCTTTGAAGATTCTTCTTACTTGGTGCACGGCGCTTCCGCAATATCGGACCAGCTCAAACTTATGTACATGCATATATCATATATATATATATAATGTATATTACGATTCAGAAGGCACATGGGAGTCACTCCAAACATATCAAACAAATATATAATAGTTATATATATTTTATACACAATGTATATGCATCGTACATCTTTATACCCAGTCATGACTTCGCAAACCGGATGATAGTAGCCTGGGGTCTGATGCTTCTTCGGGGTCGTAGTTCGCAACCGGGCCCTCTGGGGTTCCAACGGACCAAAAACCGACCCCTAAGGACCTTTGCGGATTGCTGGAAGGGACATGCAACGGAGAAAACCAAAAACCTATCACTCCTTTTTTGGTGATTCCCATGGTGTATTTTGCCCTGCATAATCTATATGGATTGGTCTGAAATTATGTCGGAATCCATGGTGCAATCCCAAAATCTTCATGTTGATCATCATTGTCACTTACAAAAATTGGAATTTTCTGGGTATATCCGTGTATTGGTTTGTTTGGGAGAATCTACAGGAAAACCATGAAATGAGTTTCGCAAAAGCCAGGTTTTCTTGTAGCTTTGGCAACAAATCCAATGACCTGTGAGGAATTTAAGGCTCCCATGACTCAGGTGAAATGTCGAATGTGGCGCCCTCGGAGTTGACAGCAGGCCAGGTTTCTGAATTTGGAGATGGAACAAGAAACCAATTATTGTGTATTTGATCAACCTATTGTTGATGGATAATACTTGTAACTTGATGTAACTTGTACCTATTTGGGGATGGACAATTGAACTATATCAAACTGATTTGGGGCTGATAATTGGGAGATGAGCATCAGCTATTTTGGTGTGAACAGAAGGGTACGAGGGTTTTGGTCCATACCCATTTCTGAACTTGAATGAGTAGCATGGGAGCAATTGGCTTTGGAGGATACAAAACATCCCTTATACCCTCTGGTAAACTTTCACATAACTATGGAATATCACCATTTTTTATGGGTAAATCGGTAAATCCACTATTTCTATGGCATTAAATGGCCATTTTCGATAGCAAACCGTTAGTCATTACCGGAGGGTGTTTACCATCCATTTGGGGTACCCCCAGCATCCAGGCACCTTCCTCTCGAAGGCCAACGATAGCCTGGTGCTGTCCCTCTCCACGGTCAGTGATGAGGAGATTGTGCCGCCACTGGAATGGCGTACGCGGCGTACGCCATTGCATTGGATTTTTTTGTTTATATTGTTATACGGTATGGTTCATATATATATATATATACATATGTATATATATATATAATATGTATGGTTAGATATTATGATATTTACATTGCAACTATGGTGCTATCTATCTATAGATTGAGGGTATGGTTCCTGGTGGTTTATGAAGGTTTGATCACAAATTCTGTTCAGGACCTTGGTGTTAGTTGGTGGTCACGTGGCCTTTTCCTCTTGGATCATCTATAGGAAACCCAGAAACTCCCATACATCATACGGCCTATGACAAAATGTAGTTTCCTGTAGTTGTCCTCCCTTAAACCACGCCAGTGACTGTTCGGGCAAAGAAAACTTTCCAGTTTTTTACTACCAGCGAGACAACAATCGATCTTTAGGCCATGTAAACCTTTGCACATGAAATCGTTGAGCTGTTCAATTGCAGTGGTATCATTTTAGTCAGAAACGATCACCTTTGGGGTAATTACTACCTTGCGGTAAACCAACATTGCTTAGGAACATCACCATGTTTAACAGGTAAATCATCTAAAAATGAGGATTTTCAATAGCTATGTTGGTTTACTGGATGGTAACCACCCGAAACAACCAGGGTTTATGAATGCAATACTGCCAGAAATTTCTCACCCTCGGACCTGGTTGGTAACGCATGATGTTTCCATGTCCATCAGTGAATGAATGGTTGGCTTGCTGGAAGTTTGAGTGTGACAAATCCATACAAATCCGATTTCTGAAACCCAATGCAACTGAGTATGGAATATATGGAATGTTTCTCCCACCTTCCCTGAGTCACCGCCCTCACCGTCCTCACCTTCCTCACGTTCCTCACGATCGCAGGAGGAAAGCCTGACATCATCGAGTTCCACTGAGCTGGTGCGAAGTCATACATGGCCAGACATGAAGGCAGCCGATCCGGTCAGTTGCTCCTCAAGACACAGATTTTTTTCTGCGGGCGTTGTTGCAATCACGTCTAAAAATTGCCGTCAATACCAGTGCATCAGAACAGTTTTTTTTTTTTAAATAGCAACCACTCATATACGCGTCTCTATAGAAACAGATATGCATTATATATATATATATTAGATAATTAGTTGTTCAGTATCATAATATATATATATATAATTATATATATTATATCTCTGGAATGATCAAAGAGCTGTTTGGTTTGCAGACATCTCTTGGCAGTGACAAGTTTTTACGCGCGACCTGCCAGGAGCCGCAGCTGGAAGAAGTAGGCGACGGGGGAGTCGAGAGCGAGTCGAGAGCGAGTCTCGCGCGTCTCGGAGGCTTTCTTGAAACCATCAGAGATTTGTCATTTATACTACAATCCAATGAAATCCACTGACTGGTATGATGTGGTTTGATATGCAGAGACTAAAAAGATTTTATTATAGATATCATCCATGGATGATTCTAGTTATCTGGTTTGATGTGGTTTTATTACCCATAGGATCCATGTATGCTATATATGGTAACATGGATCCCATCAATATACCCCAAATGTTAGCATATATACCATAGATCCTATGGATAATTATTGGATCATTATTGGAAATGACCAATTATTGGTTGTGATCCATAATAATTATGATTATTGGATAATTATTATTAATTGTGATCATAATGGATAATTAATATAGATAACAATTAATTGTCCAATAATAATTTATTATGCATATGATTTATTATAACATGAATGAATTAATCCAACAATCATGATCAATCCATATTAACGCATGAGATCATTAATCCATATTTAGACATTGGTACATCATTCATCCATATCAATCCAATGATCATAATTGGACCAAAATACGTGGACAAAATTTCTTTGGTGAGAAATTTGGACGGGGCTTTCATTTTCACCAGAATTGGACCACACAACATATTGTAAAATGAAAAAACATATTGTTTTTAAGCAAAATGACAAATTATGTAAACAATGATTTTGCCAAATTGGTTGATAGATGTTAGTAGATGATCAGGGGAAATCGCTAGTCGCTAGAGACTCCTAAGTGAAGAGGTGAACGGCACCGTGTCTTTTCCAATGCCGGCTATGAATCTCCGTCCCGAAACCTGATCCAGCTGGACCTGAGTGGATATGACTCGGACATGATTTAGGAACCGTGGTTCCTTCTGACACACACATCCCTTGTGGCCTTAGAAAGTTTGGTCCAAAGATGTCCGCATATTTAGTGCAAAACACGTCATAATCTTCATAATATTCCAGTCAAGCATCACGACATCAGAACTTCAGCTTATTTTTCATAGTCCTTCATGTTTATCCCATGTTTTAATGGACTTTTAATGGACTTTTTGGCCAATGTCTATCCAATTTATTGGATTCCTCTGATTCCTCTTGACAGGTCGAAGACATTCCTGGGCTGTGGCCGATCGGGACCTGCTACCGGCCGTTTTTTTGAATCGCCCGTCACGGGAGGCCAGCGGAAGTTTCTGAAGCTCCTGGTCTTTTCTCCGTAAAAGAAAAAAATGAGGTGAAATCTCATCTAAAAGTGAGCAAACCTGATTTTTCCGTGGTTTTTCTTTTGCTGAATTGTTGTATGTTTTGGAAATCCAGACAAATATTGAGTGAATAACCAACAAAAAACCTGCTGGAAGTCATGAATATGCTTGGCTCCCGATCGACCAATCCGAAGCTGCATTAGAATCCCACAATCATCATCATCATCAGAAAATCACCATATTATGATTGTATATCATATCATCATATTTGTATGATGTCCAACTTTTCTATCCTGATTCTATCCTATGTTTGTGGTTAAACCATGTTAAACCCTCATCCTCATCCATCCGCAATCTTCGAAGACTATCTCTGCTTGTGGTCTCGCGTGGCGGCGAAGCACCGCAGAGCGGTGCTCCGCCGCTGTCGCAAGTCTACCACAGTGGCCTTATGCAATCGAACTTTGGAGATGGTACACAAACAAATATGGCATATATCATTAATATATTGTAAATTGATATTTTATAAATACCTCAATGACTATTTAATGAATTGTATAATGGATATTTAACAGTGGATAGCATATAATTATATATATTATAATAATAAGATATATTTGTGTTGGATTATTTTGGGAAATATACTGCTATATAAAATGAACTCAGCAATGAACACGGAGATAAACATGCCAGGCTGAGGGATATTAATGGATGTCAATGGGGGTTTAATCCATGTGGCTATAACCTTTCAAATAGCCATTTGAATAGGAATTATGATGATTACCCAGTGGATCTAGGGGTACCCTTCAGGCAAACCCTTGGGATATCCGAGCAGGTTTTTGTTTCACAACAGCCAGGCACAACCAACGGACGTTAATTAGCCATAGATGTTGGGACGGAATCAGACGGTTTTAACACCTGCCTGCAATGATGTTCCTTTCTGGACCCAGAATTCTTCGTTTCTGGAAATCATTTGGAAACAGACATGGCACAGACAATTTTTTGGTCTTTGAAACTCCGAATCGCAGGAAAACACCTAAAGACTACAATAAAACACATGTTTTGTGTGGGTTGATTTTCAAAAAGAGACTGCGCAAAGTCATGCTTTTGCCATGAGAATTTGTGGCAAGATTCCATCAGGCCATTGTCTTGAATTCAGTTGCATCTTCTCTCAGAGACAATTGACGATTAGTAGACTGCAAGAGATCGCTAGCACAGCCGCGCGAAGCGCCGCTGAAAAAAAAGCAACTCTTGGACTCTCAGGTTGGTCTCAAAATGGAGCACATGATAGCATATGCAACATTTTTGTTCCTGAAAAGAGAACATGATGATAAACTGCTTAAGTTATATAAACCTATATAAACATATAACATATATATATATATATTGTATATATAAACTAAAATGGAATGTTGGGGTTCTTCGACAGCCCCTGTTCTGTGATCATGTCCAGGATGGGCTCCGATCTACCCAACTGAAATCTGACTTCAGCAAGGGCTGGTTCTTGGTGGCGAAGGCGACCTGGTGCGGATATTTTAGGGCTGGAATTAAAAGGTGTAAAATGGAACTTGGATGTGCACATTGGAATAGTAGAAGGCTGTTTTGTGACTAGTGATTATATCATGTATTAACCACTATATCCATGATGAGAGGGGTATAGTTAAGCAGTTTTTAATGCTCAAGTTGAAATCTGCGAGGTCCCGGGTCAAAGGTTTTCTGTGATAAAAAAAGACCTGGAAGGGTTGAATCTTAAAATGGCAAGGGGATTTCAAGGGTTTAATATGATTTAATCTGATTTAATATGGTTTAATATGATTTAATATGATTTAATATGATTTAATATGATTTAATATGATTTAATATGATTTAATATGATTTAATATGATTTAATATGATTTGATATGATTTAATATGATTTAATATGATTTGATAATTTTGATATGATTTGATATGATTTGATATGATTTGATATGATTTGATATGAATTGATATGATTTAATATGATTTGATATGATTTGATATGATTTGATATGATTTGATATGATTTGATATGGTTCAATGTTGTTCTATCCCAGTTGGAATTCAGAATCAACTAGTGGAAGTGACTTTTTCAGACCCTGTCGAACCATTTCTCCCCGTAAAGTACAACAGCTCTATATTTTGGATACATACGGTAAAGTACAACAGCTCTACCATCTGGTTATTTAACATAGCCATGGTATAGATGGCCCATTTATAGATGGTTTACCTATTATAAATGGTGATTTTCCATGGCTATGTTAAATAACCAGATGGTATATTTTGGATACATATGTTATCTATGTGTTTTGTGCACATGACTGCACATGTAAAGATACGTGGTTTATGTCTGAAAAAAATGATGTGATATAACGACCTCACTGGTCTCCCGAACCCTGGAATTGTGGTTCATAAGGGAAATCATCCCAAAGTGGCCGAACTATTCAGGTTAGTGAAATATTATACCCTCTGGTAATTTAACATAGCTATAGAAAATCACCACTTTTAATGGGAAAATCCACTATAAATGACCATTTTCAATAGCTTTTTGTATGTTTACCAGAGGGTAATTTACCCAGATATGGAGCGCCAGGCCATGTGGAAGGAAGGCTCCAGGTCGGCGGCTCTCAAGCAGATCGAGGCAACCGGGATGTGAGGTTGTTTTTTCAGGAATGGAATGGTTTTTCCAAGAACCAGTAGTTATTCATAGTTGGATTACCCTCTGGTAAACTAACATAACTATGGGAAATCACATTTTTTTATGGGAAAATCAACTATAAATGGCCATGTTCAATAGCTATGTTAAATTACCAGAGGGTAAATAGTTAATTACTAATAGTTGGATTAGTTGGATTATTGATAATTATTGACGGTGATTAATAGCTGGATTAAATGGTAAATATCAAATTATTAGAACAACCATTAATAATAGTAATTAGTAAATCTGTATATATATAAGATGATAAGTATCAGCAATGGTTGTTCTTAATATTACTCAAAATTGCTGCTTATTAACTCCTACTGAATCAGTAAGAATTATAACAAATAGTAATGTGTAATAAAAACCCAAGAATCACAAAAAATGGTTAACACATGTTTGCATAATGAATATTAGTAATTAGCAACCAGTTATATTAATTATGTTAACCAATTACTTATGGTTAATAGGTCTAAATATTAGTGAAACTTACCATCTCAATTAAACCAATTATACTTATTATATAATCAATTAAATATTAATATTAATGAAACCAGGAATATACATATTAATAACCATTATGGTTTAACGTATGATCGACTTCTGGGTCCCATTGATAGTAATGATGATTCCCATCCGACACAGCCCCGATTCTCTGGTTCCATGCGACTTACCATCTCCGGCTGGGACAAATACTGGATGGGATTGTTTCACCAAACGGGGGCATATATAATATATATATATATAATATATAATATATATAATATATATAATATATATAATATATATAATATATATATATATACATATATATATATATACATATACTGTATATATATATATATATATACATACTACTGTAGATATAAGTGGATATGATAGATAGGATGCACTAGCCAATCCAAGCTCTATTTGTACATATATGTATATATACAGAGATTTAGATGTATATAGTTGAATAGAGCTAGCATGAACTAGCATGTTTTTCGTTTTCTGCGATCTAAATCCATGGAATATGGCTTTGTCTGAAAATAGGGTATCCCCAGATCTGATGATTCATCATCCGATTTTCCATGTTCAGATGCTCCTTTGATGGGTATACCACATTTTCAGACACACCTGAGGCTTTGTTTAAACCAGAAACCAGCAGGAGATGTTTGTTGTAATCAGATCGAGGAGCAAGATGGGCTATGAGATGATTGAAGCGCTTTCCAGATGGACCCACCATCCATTGCATCGTTGTCTATTTTGCTAAGTGTTGATTGCTGATGTTGGTCATTGTATTGGTGTACAATAAAACCAGGAACCAATTTTGTCATTGTGATTTGCATTATTGTGTCAGAATTTGAGCAAAAAAACGCAGGACAGCTGATGATATAGCCGGCCTTTCAGCTAACAGAATTAGAGGATATCACCATGAAATCATGTTTACATGGTCAAGTGTTGGCCTGGGGATATCAATGGCTACAAACCAACACAAACATTGGGGTTAGCAGTTAAACCAATTCGACCAGATGAAACCTTGATTGATGTGATAACCCTGATACAGCCAGTTGATTCAGAAACAGTAATCAGGTCATGAATCCTGCCTTAATCATGTTTGACTTTTTTCGGCGGTTGTATGCCATTGTCAGCAATTTTGACATGTTTTTCACCATAACCAAATAATTAAAGCATCATGATTTTGACCAGTGGGAACTATCATGAACTATCATGAACTATCATAGCATTTCTTTAGGTTGAAAGCACATTTTAGATTTTTATAAACCATTATCAAAAATATACTATGCGACCGATATACAATAACAGTCATAAGTGAACCATTAGCATAAGGCAATAATATGCAA